TTAATTGATATTTTGCAGATTTCACTAAGAGATTCTGTAATATTGTTATAATCAAATACATTCGGTTGTCCATCCTTGTATATTCACATTCAATGTACTGCGATATGACTATCTCATTAATATGGAAATCTTCTTTTTTTTTGACTTAATCAGAGCTCTATTATTTCATTAAATCAAAATTCATCAAAATTAATTTGGCACAGTCTTCATACATATTTCTATGAATAAGTTTCCTATTACATCACAATCATTCATTACATGCAACAGTCAAATGTTCATAAATAATACAAACGTTTACATCTAAAGTTAATGAAATCAAGCCTAAATATAATAACAATGAAATCATTTGTATTATTTATTCAATAGATGAATTCATGAATCAATTGAAGCTAGACCACCATGGAAAATATGAAAGCATTAGAAAACCGTTTTGTCTCTGTATAAGACTAAACAGCAGTGTACAATTACGATCCAGTCGAGTAGTCCAGGAGTTAAGCGCACGAGAGGAAGATCGATATGTTCTGGTTTAAAATCTGATGAGGCGCGATCATCGATGCGCACTACTGAAGAGTACTACAATAGGACGAAACAGCTGTCTAGTGTTTCGATGATTTTCATGATGATCTAGCTTCAACTGACTCATAAGTTCAATCAATAAATCTACTACATTTCAAATATCTTATATAGACTGAAGAAAATGTATTCTAACCCCTGTTTATTCTTTTCATGTTATATCACTAATAATCTTTCATGATGTGTTAACAAATCTGCTTACGGATTATATTGCGAATGACCATCCCAAATTCGTAATTAATCTTACATGTTGTTGAATGAGATATTGCTTTTACATATAATAGATCTTACATGCAAATATGTTTCAAAATAACAAATTAAATTATATTATGTTTATTTGACTCGTTGAAATATTTGCATGTGGACTTGTGTAGATTGTCGTATGTTCACAGTTGAATTCACGAGTCAATGTGATCTAGATCACCATTGATAAGCTGAAAGTATTGGACAAGCGTTTCATCCTAATATAATACTCTACATCAATGAGCATCGATGATCCGACACACGGGACTTGATTCTATCGCCTTCGGTTCAATGCTTCCATGATTGCAATGATGGTCTAGCTTAGATCATCTCGTCAATTCAATGGTGTCATTCAAAATTACATTTGAGATCATTTTCTTGAAATCTCACTGAGGAACACAGATTAAATCAATGGTAATTTGAAACAGTAAATAAACCATACCATTATTTGAGATATTCTCCACTCTATTCATATATTTAAATCGATCTATTCATATCAGACTATCTTGTTATCCTTGAATGGTTACATGATGATATATTACAAGAAGAACTAAACACCAATCAAACAGTTGATCAATAATACATGGTTTTCACGAAATCGTTGTTGGTAATCTGTGTGAATAGCACCATTTCTTTTACAAAATATATCAAAATATCTAATAATCACTATCGAATTATCCAATCACCTTACTTACTTACTTTCTTGCTTACTTACGCCTGTTACTACCGATGGAGCATAGGCCGTTGACCAGCATTCTCCAATCTACTCTATCTTCCAACTTCTTTTTCAGTTCTTGAATAGCATCGTTTTCTTTACAAAATATGTCAAATAATCTAATAATCACCGTCGAATTATTCGATCGACAGTCAGGAATTATGACATTATGAGATCGTTTAGTAAATTCAGTTTTTGCATATAAACAAACTATCTTATACATTAATAAATCCTATTTCATTGTCATTAGTTTACTGTCATGATCACATTAGATCGATTATTTGATAGATCATATTTCATTACATCAATCTTTATCATAGTATACATATGTAGTGTTTTGTTCATATGAATAATAATAATAATGACCATGGAAACAATAATTAGAAAGTAATAAAAAAGAGAAAAAATGAAACAACGACGACAACAACAACAACAATAACGCAATAATCAATTGATGACTTACGTTTTCAATAGTAAATTAATAATAAAACGTAAGAAGCATTTCATTAATATCACTCAAGTATAATCTATGAAAATCACATTTCCCTTTTTTCCCCTCCCCTTCACCGTCTAATGCATTGAAACTACCCACACCCAAAAAAAGAACGAAGATGGTATATAATGAATTTTGTCAATCTGTCTTATATCATTCAAATAAACGAATCATTGAAGAAAGATCTTCATCATCATCATGATCATTATGATCAATACTGATATGTAACTACTGTTGAATGTATCTTGTTAAATGTATATTTATTCTATGTTAGTTTATTCTTGTATATTTAAACAGAATAAAAGTACAGGTTTTTTTTAATTTTTGTTTTTTTATTTTTTTGTTTTTTGGATCACACTTAGTAACTATAAATTTGATAGAATAGAAATATCCTCCCCCCTTATTGTATGATTTCCATAAACTGTGTATCTAAGGGGATAAAATGTTACGTTCTTTTTATGACAATCTGTTTTCCTTTAAGAAATGAAATTCTATGTATATATATATATATATATATATATATATATATATATATATATATATATATATATAGTATTCATAATCATAATATATCTATTATTATCAATATGCTTATTCGTTTATATTTATTTTACTCCCTATCTAAATGATTCATTAAATAGATAATCATTATTGGAAGTTTATATATACTGTACATTGATTGGATAAATTAGTTATTGTATTGTTTATTGTTTCCATAAAACTTTATCATAGATGAGTAGATCATTCATGTTGTAATATATTGTGTTTCTCTAATAATAATAATAATAATAATAATAATAATAATAATGTGTCATATGGGTTTTGGGAAGATTATAGTAATTTCAATGATTAAGATCATGAGTCAGTTGGAGGTAGATACCACCATGGAAAACTTGGAAGCATTGGACGGTCATTACGTCCTATTGTGCGGCTCCTCAGTGGCAGTGGGCATCCATGACCTCGCTACTCCCCACGCGAGATTCGAACCCAGGACCTACTGGTTTCGCGCGCGAGCACTTAACCACTAGACCACTGAGCTAGCCGGCATCCAACGGTGTTAATGTCTAATTTCAACTAATCCACAAAATTGAACGATACATCCACCATATGTATTCGAAGGATAGTTATGTTGAATGATGTAGATTTGTATAAAGAAAGGTATAAACATTATTTCACAACCCCCGTGCCTTTCCAGCTAAACAAGTTGGTAAAGCCTATTAGGTCTTTCTAGAGAGAAACAGTCTACATCGAAGTATGGTACAACTATTGGGGATAGAATAGCTGTTTTTACAATCAGTTAGAGTTTGTTTCATAAGGAGCAACCCTGTTCATTCAATGCACTAGTTTTGTGAATTTTTTTGTTATTGTCGTTTTTCGATCCAGCAGTAATTGTACTGCGATTCTTTGTGGATTTCGTAATCAGTTTGTAGGTATCAGACGAGTGGGTGATTAGCCCGATTTCTACCATCCGAGTTATCGCTCATGTTAGTTCATGGGACTGAGTCCCATTATCCAAAAGGCACAATATGGACGTGTTAGTCGGATTTTGCCTTCCGATGTAATTATCGGTTATAGATATATTTTCTTCTGTATAGTTAAATGGTTTAGAAACTATCGCATGATACATTTTATTAATAACAATAATTGTTTTATATACTAATGTTCTTAAACATAAGGTTTTATGATCATATACGGTACCTGATATAAGTTGGAAAACTATTGATGAAGAATTTAATAGTTGAATTCATAAGTCAATTGAAGTTAGACTATCATGGAATACCTGAAAGCACTGGATGAATGTTTCGTACTAGTATGAGATCTCTGAGCAGTTCGCATCTAAAATGCTGCCTTATAAGATTCGAACTCAAAACCTATTAGTCTCACACGCGAACGCTTAACCTCAAGACCACTAAGTCAGCCGGGATCCAACGGTTTTAATGTCTAACTTCAATCAATCTGATTATTGATGAATAGTTTTTTTTTCTTTTTCAAATAAAAGTAAATTATAACTTGTTAAATATACTTGACCATTTGATCTGAATCTATTGTTTGTAAATTTATTAATATTCAAATAAGATACTAAGTCAATGGTTTAAAGGTTAAGTGTTAAAATGGAAGGTCGAATGTCATGACTTTCATTTACTGCAAATGAGATCTTGGATCTAAACTGATGAAGAGTTCTATAATAGAATGAAATAACTTACAAAGATGATACAATCTTCTACATTGTTATGTTAATATAACAGTAGATTAACGGAAGTTTTAAATGTTCGTCTAATAGGGAGGCACCAAATACATATGCGCCACACAAATCTCAATCGATTTGTGTGAGGGCTGTGATACTGCACGGGTGCCCAAACCGAAGCAGGTGGTTTTCTTAGGGGGCCACACCCCGAGCCTTCGACCTGAACGTCTGACCCACAAGGCAGTGGAGCATCGTGAGGAGATGCGGTCTCATGGTAGCCGGTGACCAACGATTGGTTCATACGCCATTTGTTCCCGCAGGATACTGGAGCCCATGTGCACCATTGGTTTTGGATCCGGTCCAGTGAGTAGGACTTCCCTGGCAGAGGCTATATACGCATGGCCATGTGAGAGCATTTCGAGAGGGAGAGCGGTCTCTCCCCACTTTCGGCCGTACCAGGGCATTTGGGGGCGTTCGTCTAATAGAATAAAATGAGAATTTATTCATTACAACCACTTCAATAGAATATTACGGATGTTATAGATTTTATGGAACCTTTCATTTTCGTGTTTTCATGACCTGGAATTTTACACCATTATGTTATAACTGACCGTTAGTTTAATGTAATCAGATGTATATATTAAAGGTGATAAGGATACTACATAATGAAATAATTTCATTTGTGATTTGTTCACTGACAACTAGTTATTTCATTCTATAGTCAGTTGAATATATCTGGATTCTAATGTTAGTTTCCACACCTGAACTCAGGATCTGATATTTTTCTATTAATGAGTTCAGTCATTTGTGTAATCAGCAACTGAGTTATGCAACTGAGTTACATATGCCAAACTTAATTGCTTAAAATTCAGTCTTTAACATGAGTCTATAAGACTAAAATAATTAAAGTGCCCATGTGGTGTGTTAAATTCTTTTGTCAATAAGTTGTTTCATCATCATAACCTATTATATATAATCTTAATAAAGGATGATGATGATTTGGATCATGATGATGATGATGATGATGATGATTTGGATGATGATGATGATTTGGATGATGATGCTTTGAATGATGATGATTTGGATGATGATGATTTGGATGATGATGATTTGGATGATGATGATGATGATGATGATTTGGATGATGATGATGGTGATGATGATTTGGATGATGATGATGATTTGGATGATTGGTACTAGACAAGCAATCAACTACACAACATTTGCAGTATCATGATAAATGAGTATTCCATGATAATTATAGGATCTCAAGTCAAGTGGAAACAATATATGATCATTCTGTTTTGTTTTTGTAACATAGTCAATGATGATTACTGTTACTCTATTAATATCTTACTTAGTTATTTACGCCAGTTACTCTCAATGGAGCATAGTCCATCGACTAACATTTTCCAACCCTTTCTATCTTGGGCTTTCCTTTCTAGTTCGATCCAATTGTTGTTCATTCTTTTCATATCTCTTTTTATGTCTCAGTGTAATGTGTTCTTTGATCTTCCACTTCTTATTTGATCTTGAGGATTTTATGTGAGGGCTTGGCTTTTGATGCAGTTAGGTGCTTTCTTCAATGTGTGTCCTATCAACTTCCAACGCGCTTCCTCCTGATTTCTTCCTCCACTGGGATCTGATTTTTTCTCTCCCATAGCAGGTTGTTACTGATCTACTAATATCATATGAAGTAAATTTAATTCATTAATCATTCTTCTGAACAACATCATTAGCACAAGCTTCAGGTAGAAGTGAAGTGTTCAAACTTTTCCACATGTAGTTTACACCTCGATGTTGATTGGTTCTTGTTGACCTCAAATCTGTCTACGATCAAACCATCTAACTCAGAGAATAAAACTTTATCAAAAAATGATCCACCTAAGCTACAAATGTTTTTTTCATAAATCCATTGTATTACTGTTATAAAGGGCAAATCATTAACTTAGATTTCAGGTAATTGAATTAATCACGTTAAATCATAAAAATTTCCCTAAACAATATTCAACTTATCAGAAGGACTTTTTTGTGAAGAATTAGTAATTTCAAAAAAAATCCCTTCTGATAATAATCATCTGTTCACTAGTGACGGACTTCAAGAGATACTCCTGGAGTTCTGGTGGGAAACCGTGACTAGTGGAGTTCAACCAGGTCTGTTATGAGATATCAACTCATTGAAGACAATGGTGACGGTGGCGCAAATTCGTGGATTGGTTGAAGTTAGACAATAACACCGTTGGATTCCAGTCGGCTCAGTGGTCTAGTTGGTTAAGTGCCTGGCGCGACACTGATAGATCCTGGGTTCGAATCTCGTGGGGGGAGGAATCGTGGATGTGCACTGCTGAGGAGTCACATACTAGGACGAAACAGCCGTTCAGTACTTCCAGGTATTTAATGGTGATCTAACAATGATTAATTCATGATCTCGATCGAAAGATTTTAAACTAGTTATACTAATGTAATTAAATGAAAGTGTTGTATAGATATTAAGTGTCAATTATTGATGGTGATCATTAAGGAATAGAAAACTAATGAAAAGATTAGGAACTATGTGTGCTAAGTATCATAAAATCTAAAACGATCCCGAAGTTAATTATTGTTAAAATTTAGACAGATATTAGTTAGTTATTGTACATAGTAATACATTGCCTGATAAGTTCATCTACTTATACAAACCAGTGGAGTTCAACTGTGCCTATTGTGAGGCAGTTATTCATTTGAAGACAATGATGAACTATCGCTCAATATCATGGATTGGTTGAAGTTAAACATTAATGCTGTTGAATAACAGCGCAGTAATCTAGAGATTAGACGTTCGCGCACGAGAACAAATATGCTGGGTTTGAATGTTGTATGTAGGATCGTAGATACTCAGTACTGAGAAGTTACATATTAAGACAAAACAGTCGTTCAGTATTTCCAGGTTTTCAATGATGATCTAACATCACTCTATTTATGATATCAAATTAGAATTCAACAATTTCTACAACTTTAACTGATCATATACAAAATATTATCACAAGTCAAGAAAACAGATTAGATTATATTTCTGTTCTGTTTTAAGATCCTTAGTTACTAGTATGATTGAATTATAGAGTGATAAATTACTTTAAAACTAATGATTGTCTAGTTTGAATGTATTTCAATACTATTTAAGTACTATGAGAAGCTTTTCAGTTACTCCACTTAATACAAGAGATAGTTTAAAATGAAATTAAATTAATGAGTTAGTTTTTCCTTTTTTTTTCTTTTTTTTTTCCTTTCAAAATACTAGTAACCATGCTCGTTAATCTGTTTTCAATCTTTCTTCAATTCATTTCTATTAAGATATGTCATAAGATCCCTGTTAGGAATGGATCATGTTTTAAGGGTTAGTCTGATTTTTTTTCTTCTTTCAATAGGTTGATTATTTTACATGTTTTACTTAAATCATTATTATCAGTATGAGGTTAAGGATATTGTTAAGTTTTTGTTTGTTTTTTTTTTGGATTGAGATCATGAACCGATCAGTGTTAGATCACCATTGGAAACCTGAAAGCATTGGACTCTTTCACGATTCATGATCTCATTAGTGACTAGCTTTATGAAGTGATTGTCAGAGTTCTAATGAGGAAGGTGTGACCGAAAAAGGGTTTATCCGATTCCGGGTGTGAGGTGGTTACCTAACAAAGATGATCGTACAATATCATGAATTAGTTGAAGTTAGACACTAATATAATGGTATGCAGGTTTAGTGGTTTAGAAATTAAGCATTTGCATACGAGATCAAAGATCCTAGGTTCGAATCCCATGTGTATGATTGTGGATGAGTACTGATGAGGAGTCACATATTAGAATGAAACGACTATCTAATACTTTCAGATTATCTAACCTTGACCAATTCATGATCTCCATTAGAACTCAACAATCTCCACAAACCCTTACAGATGAAAAAAAATTTCAATTGGTTTAACGTTACGTTGAAATAAACGAAAAAAAAAAAAAATCGACATCCATTTCATGTCATTCGGATGTAGAACCTGAGTGAATCCCCGTAAACGTAATAGTATGCAGTATTTAATTTAGTTTAATATAAGTTATCTCTTGTGTGAGATAAATGAAAATGTGATACTTTAAGCATTACAATTAAATAACGTCAATTTTCAATATAATTGAGTTGAATTGAATACTTTTATACAGAGTTACTGTTTATAAGTCACATATCATATCCGTACATAACATAACCATCAAGTACCAAATTCGATATATCTGTTCCTAGAAAAACTAATGGTATTAATAAAACTTTCTTAAAGTCAATACTCTCTATTTACTAACGTAGTAGATAAAGGTTAAAGTTTACAAATTATTCTATATTGATTAAACGATTACTGGTTTTCATTAGATTAATAGTATTAGTAAGTAGCAAACAACAGTAGAGGCAATATGATGCAGTTCTCCAAATTTAGGCAATTGATAAAGGTTGTACATTATCAGTAATTGATTAAAATCAAATATTGAATCGATTAGATGCTGACTCAGTAGTGCATAGGTTATACATTTGTACATCCAATGAAAAATCTTTAATCTGCTCCCCTGAATACGAAGTAGTTCTATTCTATGACGAAACACCTATTCAATGCTTCAAGATTTTCTTCAATGGTTTAGCTATAATCATTTGATAATTTAAACTGTGATAATTTCATCATCTTCATAAATCCCTAATAGGAAATATTTTAGTCATTTCTATAGAAATTTATTGTTCACTAAACATGAGTAACTTCATATTATCCTTTATCAGTAAATTCTCGAAGATTTACCATACATATTCGGTGGATTTTTACGTATTTTGAATAACTTATTAAACGTGTTAATGTATATGTGACGACGGACCACGGGTGAATTCGAGGAAGCTATAAGAGGCTCAGAAGCAGCAGAAGATATTCTATCCAATCACCTTTTGGAGGAATATTCTAGAGTTCCTACGTGTAGCTTCCCGATTGGACAAGGCTAATAACCCCCTGTATACGGTTTAAAGGACTGTAATGATGATTTCATTCTTGATCAATTACAAATCGTAAACATCAATCGAAAAATACAAGTAGAACAACGCCGAATGAATTTAAAATTTAACCCTATTTCATGAGCAAGTGACTATTAGAACTCTATAGCTAAGTCGATAACATAATAGTATTTGAAGTAAACAGTATTGAGTTCGAGTTTCAGAGTGAACATCAACACAGTGATATCGATACATCCAACTGACGAATCCCATGTAGGACGAAACGCATGTGAAACGGAATTCCACCACTAGCCACTATTCATCTATGCTTATAAGGTAATATCATGGTAATCTATGAATAAGATAATTATGAAAGATATATTTTATATAATTTATTATCATAAATCATATATGACTAACATTAATTTATTAAAATAATTAATCAGATAAATAAACAATAAAAACACTACTTATTAATTCACTTCAATTAGTAGTAAATAAAATGTTTCCCTAAATTTTTTCCCGGAAATTTCTATTCATATAAATAAGATAATCAAGTAGGGTTGTATTCTATTTGTTGTTGTTTGTTTGTTTGTTTGTTTGTTTTAAAATGAAGGAAACAAACAAACAAACAAACAATCAACAGAATAGAGTTTAACTAATAGTAATGGTACATTCTAACTGGATTATGTTTATTGATTGACAAATAGGATTTATCAGATCATTCATATATAAATGAAAAAGATCATAAGTGAATAATGTTAACATGAAATGAATGAAAGACAACTGATAATGAAATAAGAACATTTCAAAAGGTTATTGTTTTAAAAATACTATGTTATTTAGTATTACAAGGGATTTTGTAAAGATCATAAGTCTATTGAAGCTACATCACTATGAAAAAACCTGGAAGGCGGTTTTATCCTAGTATGGGATTCCTCAACAGTGTACATCCATGATCCTGCCTTTCGAGATTCGAACCCAAGAGCTATTAGTCCTATGCGAGAGCACTTAACCACTAGACCACTGAGCAGGCTGGCATCCAACGGTGTTAATGTTTAGCTTCAATCAATCTACGAAATTGTGATCTAATAGTTAGACGATCTCAGGCGACAATGATAGGTTTTGGGTTCGAAACTCGCGGTTGGTGGGATCGTGGATGCGCGCTGTCGAAGAGTCCTATACTAGGACGAGACGGCCTTTCAGTGCTTCCAGGTTT